CAGAAAGTTAACTTAAAGTGGCAAGCTGTGTTGGCCGGCCTCATGCTGATCGATTTTTCTCTCTCCTCACGCTGCGTCGGCCTCTCAGGAAATGGTTGACGGGCGTTTTTGCCTGTGTGCTTTATGAGTCACCACTCCGTCGTGGTTCTCCGATGCCCACTCTATCAACAGGCATCTGGACCTTCCTGCAGCTTACAAAGTCCTACGTCATCACAACCGTAGAGCTCAGGACCAAACAACCACACCGGACTTAAGAAGACAGCACGGAGATAGCCCGACGCTGAGCTAACTCGGTGAGGAAGAACAAGAACCGCCAGACCGACCGCCCGACTAAAGTCCAATCAGCTCCCCTCGACGGAGTGGTGACTCATAAAGCACACAGGCAAAAACGCCCGTCAACCATTTCCTGAGAGGCCGACGCAGCGTGAGGAGAGAGAAAAATCGATCAGCATGAGGCCGGCCAACACAGCTTGCCACTTTAAGTTAACTTTCTGATCGATTAGGTGCAGTTTACGCTTTGACAATGAAGAGCCGACCCAGCTCTTTGAAACGTCAGCAGTTAAATAAACCTGTTCCGGAGAGCCAATTTTCTTCTTCTACTATTCAGTTCTGTCGAAATAATGGAAAGGTAGGCGAACGCATTTAAACTCCCCATTGGTTACGGTAATGTCGCAAAAAATCTCCAATTAATGAGGAAAGTTGGAAGGAAGCTTGGTTAAAGAATTACATACAATTGGCATGTAACTGTTTGTAAGTACTACTATGTGTCATCGTATGCATGATGTGGCAAAATTATGGAATTATCAAAGCCCGTATTTGGAACGTGTTAAGTATTATGGAAATGAGCACATAAACTTCAACTAGGATGCATTCGATCACACGTTATACAGTGGGGATTTTTAACGAAACAGTTTTAAAATAAGGTTACTGGAACACAGAGACTAGTAAAGTTGGCATCGTTTTAACTTCAGGAAGGATGATACATGGGGGGGGGGAAATTTGTAAGTTTTGGAGGGCGTGGTGGTATGTAACCCTGTACTGGCCAGGCTTGCTCATAAATGTATCCACGGATGGGGACGTGACAACGTCCACAGGCGGAGCATTCCATGCCTTAATCACCCTGTGGACAAAGAAGAATTTTCTTGCGTCCACTCTTGTCCCATTCGCACGTGGTTTGAGAATGAACTCGACATTATACAAAGAAACACCTTGTATCCAGTCTTTCCCCAAGCACAAGCAGTTTGAGAGGGTGTTCTTTCGAGCTAGTAGTGGTGGCCAATTCAAAGAAATCGCCGGATGCGAGACAACACTACTGACCCCGCAGTAGTCGAAACGCCTGTATTGCATGACCGTCTGTAGTTCAAAAGTAAAGGTCGAGTTCGGACAGTGGTGTTTCGTACGGCAGGTAGCCTTGACCTCGAATAAGTTTGCTTGTCGTTGTTGGACGTTTCAAGTGTGCTGCTGTCGTTGAAAGTCCGTG